TTTGGGGTGCGACCAGAGTCACGGAACGAATTAAGTTCGTAAACCGAGGTTCCACTGTATAGGTATAGATGCATTCTTGACAATAAGAAGCTCCTTTTGACAGTCCGGTCAGTTTTAAAGGGAAAATTGTTGGTTGAGACTCACAAGTCCAGAGCTTTGTTCAGTATGCAAAAGGCCTTTTCCCAGGCTTTGAGGGCAGGGTGATTGTGGAACCACTTTTGGTATGGTTTGTTTTGTTTTATTCTGGTTGAACTGTTCTGTTTGGCTTTGGTATTTTGCTCTTCCAGTCAATTGTATCTGTTATATGTTGGTTTTTTAGTTGTAAGCCATCCAGGGTTGTTTAGATGTCGGGTGGCCTGTACATTAAAAGAAATATATAAATAAACAAAAAAGCAAACCTGTTTGGGTCTTGAACATTATATTTGGACTTAAATGTTTAGAACCACATATTTATTTCAAAAGCTAAAAAGGTTTTCCAGTCATTTGATATACTTGATGTACATCAGTTTTATAGTAAACATTTATTTATATATGTTTCTAGATCTAATTAAAGATGATACAAAAAATTATTATGAAGGACTTCTCTCAAGCAACATAGCACCTATGTATTCTGCTTTTCAAGGTAAAGGCTAATTATGGGTTTGTTTTTTTTTAAGAGAAAAATGAAAGCTAATAAAATGTAATTATCTAAAGCTATGCTCTTATAAATGGTTGTGTCTGCAGTAATAGTAATATGCAATGGTGCCTCTGCTACACTGTGCTATAAATCCTCAGCCTCTGTATCACAGGAATCATACATAACAGCTTCCTGAATGCCTGCATTCTTGATTCTGAAAATCTGCAGTCTATTTCAAATGAGCGTACCATGGCTTAAAAAGCCAAAACAGAAATGGATCTTTTGTTCCTTTACATAGCTTCTGCACTCCCCTGTTCATGCAAGCAAGACAATGCTAAATTGGAAGGCTAAAAGAATTGTTTCAGTTCTCTAATCCAGAGATGGGTACAATACTACTTCCCTGGTTGCCTGGGCTCCCTGCCACATCTAACTTTATCTTTGATCTATTATTTTAATTTGAGAAACAGAGAAGAGAACTAGTCTCTACAATCATCTTTATCTAGAACAGTTTTTCTCAACCTCAGCAACTTTAAGATGTGTGGGCAATTCCCCAGCTAACCAAGACAGTCTTTATTTATTTATATTTCAAATTTGCCATCGCCCATCTCACTGCAGAATGCTTTATGTAAAACCATGATGGCTCTCTGTGTAGCTCCAACATACTCATGAATAGTTATGAAATTCACACTGGTTTGATAAATAAGTAAAACAAAGGCAGTCTGTGGTCCTAGAGCAAAAAAACAGAACCTCAACCAGCAATGTCACTGATGGCCTTGGTTCTTTTAAGGTCATGGCGTTTTCTTAGTGATATTCTCCCTTGTGTTTCCAGTGATTTGGGAATATTTTAACGCTGTCCGACTGCCATCATATGCTGCAGCCAGAAATGGTGTAAATGTGATCGTAGGTCCTATATTTGATTATGACTACAATGGCGTGTATGATACACCAGAGGAAATAAGAAGGTAAGCGGATATCAGTTTTAGCTTTTGTGTGTGTGAATGTGTGTTAAAATTGCTTCTTTAATTTAATTTATGGGAATAAGCCTCAGTTAAAACTTATTTTCGTGACTTAACAGAATTTATGTCCTGAAGAAGTAAGACAACTAACAATTTAGAATGAGCCAATCAGTCCCTTTCTGGCTTCTTCCATATGTATCAATGCACTATATCGAACTTTAACCTGTGCAAACTATGGCTTTTTAAAAAAAAATGCATAAAAATGTACATTCAGATAAGTCTTTTAATACATAATTTTTTATTTCAAAATCCGCAGTGTTGACGATATTTTGTTATGGTATTTAGAATCGAGTGGGTGAAACTGTTTCAGTACTCACATTAATCTAAGGGCGTGGTTCAAGTTGATTCATGTGATGTTTGCAAAAATTGAATTTCTTGCAATAGGTATCAAGGAATATAAAAATACATTAACATTCTAACAGTGTTGTGAGTAGCTCATTCTCAGAGGCTTCTGTGCAGGGGAGGGGAGATGGATGTCAAAGGAGAGACAAATGATGAAATCGATGTCCTGTCATCACACCTCAAGCTCCATCCCTTTTGCACGTGCATCATCATATCACACATAAGTATGAAACTAGTAGGGCTTGTGTTGCAACAGTGCAATGCTGCTTTCATTATTTTGATGAATGACTCAGATCATGTGGATGTCTCTTATTTATTGCTGTATTAAATGCATACTCCAGTTTTCCATAAAGAATCTCCATCCCCATTCTAATAATAATTATAAGGTTGAAAAAAGGAAATAAATTTAAAGTACATTTTAAAAACATAATTCACACATCATTAAAATCACAGCTACAGGTTGGAACAGTACTGGAGCAGGCCATGATTTCTATTTCTATCAAATGTAACTTCAACAGTGTGATTTGAGAAAAGAAATTCTCTTGGAGATTATGAAGCCCAGAGTGACTTAAAGGAAGAATATTATCATACAAATAGTCTGGCCCCATTACATATGGCTTAAAGTTTTATAAGCAGTTCTTTCAATGTGCCTGGAAACAAACTAATAGCTCGTGGAGTTGGTTTAACAAGTGAGATCTGCTCCCCTTAAGGGGCTGCATCCCATACATTACTTCATCTGAGGTTCAAGTATAATTGTTTATATTTAGTCTATCTTTGACACATTCTGGTGGATTACATCTACTGGAATAGTAGATCACTTAATGCTATAGTTTTGGTTTAACCAAATAGCTTATATATTTCTTTGTCCATGCACCTGGGGAATGCTCAGTTTAACTAACAACAAAATGTTGTTTTTTTCTTTTAAAATTAAATTCCAGACACTCAACTAATTTAGCGGTCCTGATTCCAACTCACTACTTCATTACTTTGACAAGTTGTAAAAATGTTTCTCAGACACCTTTGCAATGTGAAGGATCCCTTGATGTTATATCTTACATTATACCTCACAGAGAAGATAACAGTGAAAGTTGCATAGTGAGTATTACTTTTTAATATATAAAACATAAAAATGGGCGGGGGGAAGGCTCATTTTCTTTGAAGTACAAGTTTCTAGTTTTCATAATAGGTGTGTACATACGCTTGAAAGTATGAGAAATACATGAAAAAATCTTTGAAATGGGAAGGATGCTCTGCATAACTTAACACACAAACCTCATTTCTAGGCCTGTATAAACACTGGCATAACATTAACATAGCCCTAATTGTGGCTGATGTGAGCACTTATGTCATAGGGGCCTCACAGGTATTCAGTATATTCACTGAATATTCACTGTATTCAACCAGTGTTGTGATGTCTCTACCAGAATTATTTTTTGCCTTTAGTTAATCATTGTTTTTCTAATGGATCTCATATGGAGATTTATGTCATGGTCTTTCTGAAGCTTGATACTCAGGCTGCTGGTAATGATCATGGAAATAGGGGTAAAGTAATTATATATCAATTTGAAATTAATAATTGGGGTGGATAGTTAATACACTAGAAAAGAGAAAGAATATTCAAAATCTTGGCTAGAGAGATCTTGGCTAGAGAAGTGGGCTGAAAATAACAAAATGAAATTTAAAAGAAACACAGGGGGAAAATAATTCAAATCCTGGTCTACAATGCAAATTTTTGGGGTGGGGGGCGGGGAGTAGTTCTCTTTGAGTCAGTCTTGACTCCTGGCAACTGCCTGGACAAGTCCCTGAAGTTTTCTTGGCAAGATTTTTGGAAGTGGTTTGCCATTCACTCCTTTCTAGGGCTGAGAGAATGACTGGCCCAAGGTCACCCAGCTGGTTTTGTGCCTCAGGCGGGACTGGAACTCATGGTCTCCCGGTTTCTAGCCTGCTACCTTAACAACTACACCAAACTGGCTCTCTTAATTGATTTTATTATTCACTAATTAAATAGGTATATATTTGAAAAGGATATTGGAATTATAACTGATCACAAACTGAATATGAATCAGCGATGTGACATGGCTCTTAAGAAGGAAGAGGAGAGACTAAGAGAAATGGCCATGTTTATTCCTGAGAAGAAAGATTGGGTGATGATGATAGAATATAATAACAGTTTTAAAGCATCTAAGGATATGTCACACAGAAGATCCATATCTGCCTTCTGTTGTCACAGAATGCAGGACACTGAATAATTGCTTTAAGTCAAAGGAAGGCAGTTTCTAGCTGAATGTCTGGAAATGTTTCCAAATAGCATTAACCATTTAACAGTGGAAGTAATTACCAAGGAAGGTGGTGATCTCCTTTTCACTGGCTGTTTTCAAACAATGGAGGGATATCCATTTGTTCTAGCTGCTTTGATTTGGACTCCCACCCACATTGGATTGAAGGATTGGACTCAATGAATTAAAAGGCCTCTTTCAACTTTATAATTCTATGGCTGTTCAGTTCACACCATAATGGAAAAGAATGTTAAATTGGATGTTGTATTTGGACTGTATGTTTGGTACATTTATAAAAAGTAGTCATGTTGCTTCGGTGAGAAGATCAAATCCTTTGTTGGAGGCTGAAGTGTTCTCTGTGTGCATTTGAGCATTTCCTGAGAGTGGGAATATGACATGAGCAGTGATTAGTAAAGCAGGCTTTATAATTGTAACAGAAAAGAGATTTATTTATAGGAAATATATTATAGGAATAGGCAAATTCTAGCATCTAGCTAGCCACATTCTACTAGGAGGAGAGTCAAAGAGCATGTTCTCTTTGCATTGTTGGGAACACAGGCAGAAGAAGGAAGTGACCCGAGATCAATGATCTACTGTATATATAAAAAAAGGCAGGATAGACAAGGAAAAGACAGAGAATCAGCTCTTGAGTCTCTGTTATACTCTCCTGCCCCCTTATGGTCAATAGGTTATAAGGTGTTGAAAGTAAGGGCTATGGATTCACATTTCCAACACCATCCCTTCTTGCTCTGCAGAATATCCTCAGATCATCTTCAGAGCAATTTAGCAATTTAGTACTGAATTTTTAAACATCTCAAAACATCTATAACATGAACTATATAGGATGCTGAGTTTGTGTATTGTGACATGTCAGAATATTAGCATTCTTCTTGTTTTTTTTCTTCCAATAGGTTGGCAAGCCTGAATCCTTGTGGGTTGAAGAGAGAATGAGACTTCATGTTGCCCGAGTTAGAGATGTAGAACTTCTTACAGGACTCAGCTTTTATCATGAAGGAAAGCAGTCTGTGGCTGATATTTTACAGTTGAAAACCTATTTGCCAAGTTTTGACAAAGCCTGATTTTAATTTTGTTGGGTTTCTGTATTGAAAAAGAGAAACTGTATCACAGCTTCATAGACATGCTGGAAGATTTTCAGAAGATACTGGAACAAAGTGGGACCCAGAAAGAACCTGTCCCACATTTTGTATCTCAGGGACATTTAATGGGCCACCTGTATCAGCGTTATTATTCTCTTCAACGGGATAGAAGTGTTTTATATAGTGTTATTAAAGCCAATCTGGAACATCAACACAACAGATAAGCATGTGGGATAAAAACCAACAATTCAACAATGATTACAACAGCATAAAAGTTTCCAGGAGTTACTTTATTCTGCCTGATTTTCTTTTTATACAGAGGCAAGAGTGGATTAACTAAAAGTGAACCCACCTGGCATGTATATTTCAAAAATGATAAGTAATACATGAACTTTTTTCAAAACTGGTCATTTTCTGAACTATTTTTTGCTCTGTTTAATAAATGGAATATCATTTAATGGATATTCTTGATTATTTCTGGAATATCACACGCACCTATGCATATCATTTCAGAAGCCCCTTTAAGATAAATGGGATTTACTTTCAGCTAAGTGTCTATAGAATTACAGCTCTGATATATCGTGGACTGCATGTTCAGCTATTCCTGAAAACATAAGATATAGTTGCATAATTTTTGCCTTTAATACTTCCATAAAGTTCATGTCATGTTCTTGATACTGCCACCGTATCCCCAGATACTGTACCTGATTAGCCATTCATACATCTGAACAGGCATGTCCTAGATTTGTGAATCTTCAGTGTTTATATCTGTTCTGTGGCTGAATGCTAAGTGAATGCATGATTGATTGACTGATTGGATTAATCTCATCGCAGTCTGAGAGACTCTTGGCATTTTACAACCTCCACCGATACATAAATATAAAATATACACTGTACAATAAAACAGAATAGTATAATAAAAGAAACCTAACACAAACAGTGGTATAATAGATAATGTTCGCTCACATATCTAAGGTTTTCTTAAAAAGCTCCATTTTTAATAGTTTATGGAAAGCCAACAATGTAGGGACAGATCAAATTCCCAAGTGCAGGCACCACAACTGAAACACAATGCTTCTGCCACTCCCTTTGCAGAAGTGGGGGGCCGCTAGCAGATACTCCTAGTTGGACATATTGGAGCGCAGAATAAATTATAACAATGAGGGTCCCATAGAATAAAGCTCATTTACCCAATTTATAAGCTCCCTCAATTATCTATGCAAATCTAGATGATAAACAACATATTAAAACAAAAATTGAAAAACAGTTATTGAGAATGAAAACTATACATACACAGTACTTTATCCACTGAAGCTTAATTTCTCTTTCCACTTCTACCCCTCATTAACTTACAGTACTTAAAAAAACATTTCTGAGTATAAAATACACCTTAATAAACAACACTAAATCACAGGGGGGCTGTAAAACAGGTAAGCTCCCTCCGTAAGCCATTCCCATACAACACAAGGACCATGGTGGCAGACAGAGGACTGGTTTCGCTAAGTTCATGTGGGAGATAATGTCTCCATGGTGTTTGTACTGCAGCAGGATTCCTGGAACTATATTGTATCAATATGAACCAAACGTAATAAACACTTCTATATTTATACTGACCATCTCCTTATTCTGGATTGAATAAAGACTGATCTATTTATCAGAAAATAAAATACCTTGTTACTGAAAACAGTAGAAGGCCAGAAAAACATTTCTGGAAAGTAACAATAGTCTCATGCCTATTTCAAGGGGGGTGGGGGATTAAGATTACTTAAGGAACACATATTTGCAATATAAACAGCTCCCACCTTTAAATATGCCATGAAGGAAGATTATTCCTGGGGAATCTTTTCAGATAGATTTTCCTTTGTTGAACTTTGAGCCCTGACAATCTTTCCAAAGCAACTGTCTGTATTGAAGTAGCAGATACAATTTTCATAAAGGATTTGTGTGTGTGTGTGTGTATGTGTGTGTGCATGTGTGCGTGTGTGTATGTAGCCCTTGGTGCTCTCTGAGCTTGGCTGTTTGCTTGCAGACATTTAATTACCCAACTAGGTAACATCATCAGTGCTAGTGAGTGTGGGGTTTGCTCCCTGTTTATATACAGTAACTTGCCCTACCAAGGTTGGTGCCTGACCACTCAACCCACTACAGTACAACCAACACAAACTATGAAAAGGATAACACCACCATATACCAAAAACTTCTCAGAAACAACCAACAGACTATTAGAACCACAAGCATCACCATAGCACACACACCAACTAAAGCCCTCCAAAAGTTCTTAAGTAAAGCAAAAGACTCAGTAGCCCAAGAAGAAAAAATGGGAGCCACCTACAACATACAGTGTAAGGACTGTAACAAACACTATGTAAGACAGACAGGCAGAAGACTAGCAGAACGCATCCATGAGCACCAACTAGCAGTCAGAACACACAATGAAAACTCCTTAATCTCACAACACATGGACAGACAACCATAGTTTCAGCTGGGAAACTGTGAGTGTCGTAGACCAAGCCAAATCCAAAAATGCTAGGGAATTCCTGGAAGCTTGGCATTTAGACAGATCAGCCATCAACAAACACAATGAAATAAACCATATTTATGCACCATTCAAAAGAGACAATAAAAAGCTAAGAAGGAAACAAAAAAAAAGACCAGAGCACATCCCCTCCAGCAGCCAACACCCAGACAAGCAATGATTAACACCAGACAAACAAGCTGAAAACAATACCCTAATCAAGGTACTACCAAGGAGAAACCACAACCCCACCAACCTTGGCAAGGCAAGCTCTTGTATATAAACAGGGAGCAAACCCCACACTCACTAGCACTGATGATGTTACCTGCAAGCGAACAACCAAGCTCAGAGAGCACCAAGGACCCCGCAGTTCAACCCTGAGCTACATATATTCTCTTCTGTTGGAATTCTTTTTTGTCACATAAGATTACGTCTCCAACAGTAAGACAGCGGTATCTTCTTTCTCCAAATGTATATGATTGAAATCATGAGATACCTTTTTGAGAGGAATAGGAGAATTATAAGTAAATACTATATAGCAGATTGGTTTTCTTTCTCTTTTCTTTTTGAATGATAACAGTAATTAGGACCAATATTTTGGAATTTAGGAATTATTTATTTGAATTTACCAACAATGCAAGTTATACTGAAAGGAATAACAGTTTCATGCTGTTATCTTAAAGACAGTCCCTTTAAGAATAAGGAAGGAAAACAAGCAAGTGGTTACAATATTAGTCAAATAGCTTCTTCTTCCAGGCATTATCTCTGTAACAATAGTCCATAAGTAGACATCTAAGACAAAAAGCAGATGAGATTCTATTCTGGAATAAAATGCATTTCACAGGAGTATGAGGGAATTACGGTAGCCAGAAATTGTCCTGCCTCTGACTGTTTTTAGCCTGAGTGGTTTCTAGTTCATTTCTCACACCTACTTGTTCTTGGTTCCAAATACTAGGAAAAGGACAATAAAATTGGATTGATAGAAGGGAAAAAGAATGGCTGTTAATGGTATCATGTTTCTATATTCTACACAGTCTTTCCAAGAATTGAGATAATTGAGATAAGATGGACCCTGGCAGGATCTCAGAGGAAAAATCCAGGAAAGATAGTAGACTACAAAACATGAAGAATGTATTCCCTTAGCCATATCACAAACACTTAATGATATATCTTAAAGAAAACCAGAAGTAATATTAATTATTTGAACATAGAAGCTGAGAAAAATATAATCAGATAGGGACTGATGTTTTCATGCAAAACTTTCCTTGTTTCACCCTTCGTTATCTCTGAACTCTTATTCTTTCTCTGGGAAGCCTAAGGATTGTTTTAAAGCCCAACTTCTTTCTGACTCTTTCTTCTGTAAGAAATTGAAATATTCAGCCAAGACAGAATCACTGGGGGTGGTGCTGCTGCTAGTCTACGCTATATTGATCTCTGAAGTTCTGGATGATGATGATGATGATGATGATGATGATGATGATGATGATGATGATGATATCAATGATTTCCTTTCCTTCCTTTGCTCAAAAGTTATTGGATACATGAGCAAATAGCCCACTATAAACCAAGATCTCATTTTATATGTTCTGTAAGTAGCTTGTAAATATTCTCCAGCTCTACCACATGGGGTCAGACTGCCCTAATAATTTAGAATTTTTTATGGCAAGCTACCTAGAGGAAGGAATAGGCATAGGAAGGCAGTTTTTTAATTGCTAACATTGAAGGTGACAGCATGGTATGAACTAAAACATGGACTCTCACACCCATACCTGAGAGCTTTCAAGTTTTATTCCAGAATATAGACATCAAAACATGGCAGCATATTGCACATTCCTCTCAGAAATCCAGCCAGCTGGTCAATCTTGCCCACTTTCAGGACACTCCATTACATTCCCCTCCCTTCCCTGTTCCAACCCTTCCCCACAAGAATCTGTGAACATACCATGATCACTCAACAAGCTCAGTACTCATTATCTGAGAGCTGTCAGGTGCTGATCCCAAAATATTACTGAATACACTCTGAGCCCTTGAATCATCAAGCTAAAAAAAGCAGACGTTTGAGTTTTACAGTGGGCTGTGCAAATAAGCCTTATAGAAAGCAGTGACTAGTATATTTGGCTTAAAGGAATAAGTGACTAATGTATGTCTTATGTCATCATCATTTTCCACTAAAAATCAACCCAGATAGTCCTAAGGACTGAATAATGTCTTTAGATCTAGGGGAAAAGGGTATTTTTGCTGACTGCTTCCCTGAAGTTCCCGTATGCTTCCAGAGAGCTGCCCAAGAAAGCTAGTTAGCTACCAAACATTTGGACAGATGTTATGGGAGAAAAGGATTCAGAGGTAAAGGCGATCCATGAAATTTCTCCATCGCGTCCAAGCCCATTCATAGGACCAAAGAAGGAATCTGGACTGAAAACCAGGTCTGGCCAAACCCTTTTCCTTCCCCAAGGCTGGACCTACCATCAGGTAAAATGAAGGTTTGGGGGTCATGAAAGGGTGGCAGAGTGAGGGCTCTAAAATGTATCACTGCATTTTACTGCCAGAAAGGGAGAACAGTTACAAGCCAGAATAAGAGGGAGGATTGCTGCTCTGACTCAGGCATCAAAATGTCAGGTGTTAGCCTGTCTATTGCTTCTCCTGCTTTATGGGCTGAATTCTTTCTTTGTATTGTCACTCTGTGAAATTCCATACACATCTCTCTCTGCTTACCTGACTATGTTTCCACTTACTCATTTAACAAATGCTGTGTAAGTTAAATGATTCCTACTAACTCAGTTTGTAGCAACTCATTAATACAAAACTTACAATTCTGACTCAATAAAATAAAAAATGTTAAAATAGCATTATTTTATTTCATGTATTTATTAAAAGAAATTAACAATTCTGTTCCTGCCCAGGAAATTAAAAATTAATTAGGTTATACATGTTTCTTCCTCCAAT